ATGAAACATAATATCAAAAGAATTATATTATTTTTTTCGAAATTTAACTTGACACCATCATTTAGCACGAAACAATAATTTTTCTTGCTTACGTTACTCGATTAAACCACTTTCAATTCATATCCGTTGTTTTATTCGTGTGGCTTGGTCATATTCATGAAGTAATCAAGGCCTACCAAAGTAATTGCCACCACCGAATACTGTTCAGCATGCATCACTACGAATTGCTAGTAAGAAATTTTTCCATATCTTATTCGTCCTTTTTTCAGGTTTTTGATGCTTACATAAATATATCAGAGATAGTGAATTATTATCGCTGATCTCTATCATTCCGCTCTTTTTACTTTTGTACACCAATGTATATAGCTGTCAGTCTATTTTCATTTTAACCTTTACGTTTTTCTAAAATCTCTTTTTCACACTACTGTATTGCGCCAGCGATTTTTCTCTTCACAATCTTATCTATAAGTCATCCATTCATCCATGCTTAGTATATTTCTGCCACATGGGGTCCCTTGCTCCTTCTATATATTTAGAGATTCTTGATATAATCCAAAGAAGAATCAACAGCATTATGTGTCCTGAACAGGCTTGTTGTCTTCAGTCACTTTCCACGGTTGTAAAGTTGTCTCCCTGTGCCTATTTTATAAATACTTGCATGTAAATTTATCGGATGAGCTCGTCATTATAGTACCTAGATTTATTTTTTTCAAATTTAGGTACAATACTAGACTGAGGAAAAGCTCTCATCCTTTGACTGTCTATTTGGCTATATGTAACCGTAAGTACTTTGCTAAGAGTTTCTTCTTGTAATTCTCGTTTGTGGAACTTTCTTCTGGCTCAATATTTTCTATCCAACGTTAATCTTCAAAAACTTAAATTCGGTGTCAAACGCTATCTACTGTTTTCCTGATTAGTCTTCTATTGTTCTCGACCCTTAATGATTTCTAATTCCTCTACACCCCTTGTGTCTTCGTGTTTGTCGGGAATTCGATTAAAAGAAATATCACATATTGTTTTACTTCTTACCGTCATGTCAAGGTTTTCGTCTATTTTATAACGGTTCTAAATTAACCTACGTTACCACCTTGCTAGCGTTATGGTAAAGTTAGCATAATTTTCATTCAGGTCAGTTGAAGAATCCAACAAACAAAATTGTAGTATTGAATCACCATCATTTCCCTCAAAAAAGATAATTCATGGAAAATGAGTTATTGTGTGTTAGAGGAAACTGGGGAAATATATAGCGACCTGTGGCTCCTAACGCCTGAGCAAACAAAACCGAAAAGAAGACCCATGGTGGGGTGGGGGGCTCAAAGAAACAACATTTTGTGAAGCCTAGCTGGTCACTTTGAATAACCAGGATTCTGATTGCAAATTCTGTGTATATCTTTGACCTCAATGTACAGTGCCGTCACGTAAGAGGGGATTCCCATTATCCGCGCATAACTTTTGGCAAGTCAGTTTATAATGTTTGCCCGATATCAGTTTTGACTCACAGACATATATAAATTTTCTTGAAGACAATGTCTGCATCAATTTTAAATTTAGTGGTTATATTTTGATACTTTCTTAGTTCGGTCTCGTGTTGGATAAAATGTGTTTAATGAGGGAAATAACTTGTTCAGAATATATGGCTTCTCATCCTAATTCATTATCACTTCTGCACTATAATTGTATAAACGATTTCTACTTTTATTTTTATGCAACATAATGTCCCAATAATGATGTATGATTCAATCACTCACCTAATGGGTATATATGAAGGTGTTCCGTTTTTTTTTTTTTAGTGAAAACACAGAATATATATATATATATATATATATATATATATATATATATATACTAGCAGTAGAGCCCGGCGTTGCCCGGGGATATAACAGTACGAGATAGATCAAGTATCCACCATCATAAAGACTGAAAAATAAAATTGACAAAGATTATGGTTTAAGGTTGACGGACACGCATGTCTTAATTAGTTTTTTTTTGTTTTTTGTTTTTTTTACGAATTGGTCAAACCCAAACTCAAACAAAAACATTGTTTTCAGTCTCTACCGATTGAATAGAATTTTATTATGAACAATTGTCTTGTAAATGGAATTTTTAAAGCATTCTGAATGTAAAAATAAAGAAAAAAGTGTGCAAGACAATAAGAAACACTACATGCCAAAAAAAGTGAAGTTTTGTTGAAACTGGTTGAAAAATGTAGGTAGCCTTTCTGTAATCTTTTAGTTTTACAATTTATGATTTTTACTTATTGAATACAGTAAAGAAAATTGCATATTTTGCTTGTGGAGATTCATAATTAGAATTCTGATTTGAATATATTTTCCACTCGTTGTTTCTAATACAAAAAAATATTAACTTTATTTGGGTTTATTAAATATGATCTAACAGATCTTATTCATTTAGTAGCCTTTCTGTAATAATAATCTTTTACAATTTATGATTTTTACTTATTGAATACAGTAAAAAAATTGGACACCATGTGTATTTAAAGTAGTTTCCGGTTATTATTTTAGTTAGGAGGACTTGTGTATTTTTAGATTTCATTATCTTTCCCTAAAGATAAAGATTTATCCGATGTTTGGATTCGTACAATCAGTAGAGATCGTTAGATTATTATTTAAGGTTGGCGGACACGCATGTCTTAATTATTAATTTTTTTTACGAATTCGTCAAACCCAAACTCAAAGAAAAACATTGTTTTCAATCGTTATGAGTCTCCCGATTGAATAGAAATCTATTATAAACAATTGTCTTTTAAATGGAATTTTTAAAGCATTCTGAATATTAAAAATAAAGAAAAAAGTGTGCAAGAGAATAAGAAACACTACCTGCCAAAAAAAAGTGAATTTTTGTTTTATCGGCTGAAAAGTGTAGGAAATCCAATCCCATATATAAAGGAATACACACACACAAACAACCTGGGTTTTTAACACGATGTGAGTTGCCCCCGTTTCATTCTCACGATGTCTCTTAATCGTGTTTTCAAATTGATTTTGTGCAAAAACAATTGTATTTTCCCCATTGTTGGCGCAGTTAGAACCACCGCAAGGTAATTTTATGTAGTCCTGTGAAGTTTTGTTGAAATCGGTTGAAAAATGTAGGAAATCCGATCCAATATATAAACGTTAAAGACACACACACGCAATCTGCGTTTTATAATAAGTAAGATATACACTTTTACTTAAAAGTTATTTTTATTGGATACCAATATTTGAGTCAATGTCATGTTTATTTATAAAATATACATATTTATTTATTTTTCATTTTTCGGTCCGTATATTCAAGTAAACTTATTAGAAAGTATGTGCGCTCAAGCAGTATACCAACGTGCGTTTCTCAGCCGGAGTGCCCATGTATTTCTAATAACTTATCTGGACTATGAAACACGGGATGTGAAAATAAAAATAATAAAAAAATAGACAGTTTAATAAATAAAGAGAAGACGTACTCAAAAATGGCTCTGCAATTCAATAAGTCGGATTAGTAAAAAAAAAAAATCCTAAATATTTACCTGAAGATTGTTCGTGCAGGTCTGTATACGAAACTCTGAAGTCGAGATGCTGAACATAACATCAATCAGCTAAGTAACAAGATTTACTCACATTATATATATATATATATATATATATATATATATATATATATATAGAGAGAGAGAGAGAGAAAGAGAGAGAGAGACAAAAACAGAGAGACAGAGAGAGGGAGGCGAGGTCGAATTCCATTCACCCTAATACCCTTGGGAAATGTATGATGAAGAAGAGCATTAGCAGGTATGTGAATGGAATTCGACCTCGGCTGTTCGATTTTTAATACAAAACCGCTACCCATTTATATATATAGCCTATATATATATATATATATATATATATAGCTATGGATAAGTAGCAGGACAGACTGGTCCAAGAGAAGGACAAATGTAAATTCAAAACCTCCGGATCGATTATATACATATATAAATTATATATACATATATATATACATATATATATATATATATATATATATATATATATATATATATATATATATATATATACAATTTATATATGTTTAATTTATATAATTTATATATTAATATGGTATGGGCGGTATGAATATAATATGTCTGTATGTGTATAATGATATTTAAAAATATATGTTATATGTCGAATAGTTTGATGGCGATAATTTTTAAAACGTTTTCGACGCTGTCATGGGTTCTTACCTATACCTACAGAATGAACTCTTCCTGACACTATGTATACTACGTCTCTCAAGAGAGAGGGTCGAATCGAGTCGAGCCGATAGTTCACACCAAACTATACTGACAGTCATACTAACACCTTCCACATCTTATTATTTCGTGTAATATACCTTCGTTATTTCTACTCTTGTGTCTGTGTTGTTCTTCATTGGTCTTAACCTCGTCCATAACAAACGCTAAAATATAAGTTGTGTTGAATTTAGAAAATTATTGAAAATAGATACACATTTGACCAACCGTGTAATGTACATATATTTTTACCACCCTAAATATCGAGATAAAATTTAGGCACGAATTTGCCATCCATGTATTCCTGTATAATTCTTTGTGTTTCCTTAGGCCTGTATTATTGAATATTTTCTTTGGCATTATAACGACGTTGTAATGTTTTTTTTTTAAGTTCCTTCTTTCCTTACATGATTTTATCTAATTCATTTTTTATACATTTGTTTATTTATTTGTAAGAAGCCCTCTGGTGTTTGGTTTTATGGAGAAAATCCCCAGCCATTATTTTCTAGGCCACAAAGAAATGAATGGAAACGGGCGCAAAATAAGAGGAAGAAACATTTAGGTCTTAAGAGACGCGAGAACAGAATAAATGTTAATAAGGATATGCTGATAACGTGAAAGGAAATGAATTGAAAAAAGCAAATTTCAGTAGGCATGTAAGAAAGGGGAATAAATGGTTTCTATGAATAGAAAAATAACTTTTTTTTAAAAGTGTAAATGAAATATATGTAGAATATACGAAAAGTTGTGAGGGGAAGAAAGAAAGAAAGAAAGAAAGAAAGAAAGAAAGAAAGAAAGAAAGAAAAAGAAAGAAAGAAAGAAAGAAAATGAAAATAATGAAAAGAATTCTTAAATATATTGAATGTGACTTTGGAAACTAAACGAGGATGAAAGAATAATTAAGAAAAGAAGAGCGAAATATTTCAGGGAAAAGGAAGGAGAAAGAAAGAAAGAAAGAAAGAAAAAGAAAGAAAAAAGAAAGAAAGAAAGAAAAAAGAGAGAAAGAAAGAAAGAAAGAAAAAGAGAGAAAAAAAAAAAGAAAGAAAGAAAGAAAAAGAGAGAAAGAAAGAAAGAAAAAGAGAGAAAGAAAGAAAAAGAAAGAAAGAAAAAAAAAAAAGAAAGAAAGAAAAAAAAAGAAAGAAAGAAAGAAAGAAAGAAAGAAAAAAGAGAGAGAAAGAACGAAAGAAAGAAAGAAAGAAAAAGAAAGAAAGAAAGAAAAATAACTTTTTTTAAAGTGTAAATGAAATATATATAGAATATACGAAAAGTTGTGAGGGGTAGAAAGAAAGAAAGAAAGAAAGAAAGAATGAATGAAAGAAAGAAAAATGAAAAGAATTAAATTATGAAAGATATTCAATGTGACTTTGGAAACTAACCGAGGATGAAAAATAAATGCTGAAAGAAGAATGAAATATTTCGGGTAAAAGCAAGGGGAAAGAAATGCATAAATAAATAATTCATGGATTAAGGAAGGAAAGGTGAATGAAAACAGAAGCAGAGAAGAAATGATTGAAAAACAAAATGCCTGATTAGAAACAAAATAGGTAGCAAGAAGCTAAAGGCGATCAATATATAATTTTCCAATATATGTCGACAGAACTGGAGAAAGAAGAGAGAATGAAATATGTTTGGATCCAATTAAGGAAGGACAAGCGGGAAAAGTTGAAAAGAACAAAAAAAAAAAAAACAAAAAGAAAAACAAAAAACAAAATAATCTGATAAGTGGGAGTAAGAAAAGCAGAACGATAGCAACATATAGAAAAAAGATTATAAGATTTAACAGAAGATAAAAGAAATCCAGAAAACGTAATATTATCAACAGTGAACAAAATCATGCTTCATAATCCACATTATAAACTGAAAGAAAATGTATTGGCGTGATCAATTTCGATGTAGAAAAAAAGGGCAGTTCGTTTTACCAGATAAAGTTAAATGGAATCGATAAGAAGAAAAGAGACTAAATTGGTAAAAAATCAAAAACTATATAAGAAAGGAAACAAATTATTAAAAATGAAAATGAACAGACTAATTATTTTTTAATCATTTCACTCCAAGCAAGGCGATAATGCTTCTAAGACGCAAGGAGTTACTGAGAGTGAAATAGAATGAGAATTATTTGTGAGGAGAAAGGGCAATGAAAGAACAGTATTTACGAAGCTAGAAGGTGGCGATTGACGTTGCATTAAATGCTCTGAAGATCATTAAAAGTAATAATAAAAGAAATATCTTGATTCAGAGAAAATATCGACAGGACAAAATAATTATTTAATAAAATCACATGTAAAAAAAGAGAAGAAACGAAAATGTATTAGAGTGTAAATGAAATGTTGGCTTACAGATTCTGCTTTAAACTATCACAAATAGGTGTAAAAGGAAGATTGAGAAAAATCGTCTCTTACATTCCGTATATTTACAAAAAAAATCCCATTTGGTTACTTCGTAATCAATAAAGTGTAAAATAAAACAAACCTTGTGCAATCTCTTACGAAATCTTATTAGGAAGCAGACAAAAAACATGATAAATAAAAACAAATGAGCGGTGAGAAATCAAGAAAATTTAGAAGACGATGGAAAGAAAATGTATTATAAAGTGAAGTAGAAATGAAAGAAAAAAGAAAATTACTTTTAATTTCTAAGAGTTTTATAAAACACGCGTGAAGATTATTCTAGCTAAGAAAAAAGAATCGAATGAATAAATGATTAAGGTCGGGACAAAAGTGCTGGTTTTCTGGGACGCCTATGCATACCAAATGTTGCTTGCAACCTTACTTGAAAACAATCCAGATAGCTTGATACCTGACTGCTTAAATTCTAGAGGCCCCAGTGTTATGAATTTCCGTAAGATCGTTCACACCAAGTGCAACACCACAGACAAGATGGTAAAAATAAATATAAAAATAAATTTTGATCAAGAATTAGTATTCACGCCAAAAATAATAAATGGTAAGATTGGATTTGCTTTTATTTATATAATTTCTTGTGTTTTGGTTTACTTATTTTTTTAATTTTGATTGTTTTTTGTTCGATTCAAAGTTCCTCTCTTTTTTCTTCTTTATTTATTTCATTTTTTTTCTTTCTATTGTTCATTACTTGTTTTCCTTTCATTTTATTGTGATTCTTATATTGGTCCTTTCTCTTGTCATTTCCTTTGTTGTTTCTTTGTATGGATTCTTTCTTTCATTCTCTTTTCATACATACATATATTCATTCGTTCTTTATATGTTCATTCAACCTGCCTTTCATTGTTCTTTTTTGTTTATTTTTGTTTGTATTGAATTTTCTCTTTCTTTCTCCCATTTTTCTTTCATTTTACACGTAGGTTTTATCATTCATTAATTTTTGTTTTGTTTCCATTATTATTCTTTTCATTCACTGCTTGTGTTTTCGTTCATTTTTATAGAGATTCTTTCTTTCATTTTCTCTTTTGTTCATTCCTTCTATCCTTGTTTCTATTCATTCTTTCTTTTTTGAATTAATTAATTCATTCATTCTTTCATTCGTCATTATCTGTACCTTCTAACTCCTTTTCTTGTTCCCTTTCTTTCTTTCTTTTTCCTTTCTTTTTTTCATTCGTTTGGTCTTTTTTTATTTTCGTTGAGTTGATTCTTTTGCTTTCCTTTCTTTCATTTTGTCATTTCTTTTGTGCTCTCGTTAGCTCTTTCGTTTTCTCAATGTGTGATTTCTTTCCTTCATTCCTTCATTCATTCATTTATCTTTCAGTGTGGATTTGTCCTCATTTTCTTTATCTTTTCCCCTCTTTCTATTTTTACATTTCTTTTTTTTTGTTTTTGTTTGTGTGAGTTTTCTTTCTCTCTTTTTCTTTCTTCGTTTGTTCTTTCGGCTTTTTATTGTGAGGATTCTCTCTTTCTACCTTATCCTTGTTCATTCATTATTTATTTTTATCTAGATTTTTCATTTATCTAGATTTTTCATTAATCCATTTATTACATTTATTTTCTCTTTTTTTCTTTCTTTCTTTCTTTCTTTCTTTCTTTCTTTCTTTCTTTCTTTCTTTGTGGATTCTCTCGCATTTTCTTGCTCTCTACTCTCTATATTTTTACATTCTTTTTCGTGTAAATATTTTCTATCATTCTTACCTTGTTTCTAAAATATCTCATTTCCAAACGCTTACAATTTTTGTGACTTCTTTATTTCATGCATTTTATCCTTAATCATATTATCCCAGTCTTCGTTCTTTACCAGTTCTTTCTTTCTATATTTTCTCCTTTAACCTGTAATTAAAGTCACATATTTTTTCAGTGATTTTCTTTTCTTTCTTAATATCTGTTTTGTACCAGATTTTATTTATTCATATACCCTGAAGGACATTTTTTTTTTTTTTTCACATTTGATACTGTCCCATTCTCTTCCATTTGTTCATTTTCGATATTTATTCGTTATATTTGTCTTCATTTTTTTTTATATCTAGGCCTAAAATTTTTCTCTTCGATTTTCGCTTTCTTCCATTTGTCTGGTGGCGTTTCAAAATGATTCTCTAGTCCCAAATGCTAAAATTTATTTATTTATTTCTTCTGAATTTCCTGTATTTTGGAATTGCCATTAAATAATACTTCCCGAAGTATCTGCCGCAATAGAGAGATAACTGCATAATAAAAAAAAAAACAATATACTCTAGCAAAAAGCGTGTAATTAAATTAACCAGTATTTTTCATAAAGTATTTCTAAATTCAGAATATATACGAAATAACATCTTTACCTTAGCAGACTAATGATAAAAAGTATTCATTTATTTTGCATAATATTCCATATTTCCTTTGAACATAATCTCTTTCTCTACTATTTATATTGTTTGGACTGTTGTCCTGATCTTTATTGGTATATTCACGACATTTCTGCTGTTTACACTCCTGCTTTCTTCAGGTGATATAAGTTGGAATTTCTAACCTATTTCGTCCATTGTGGAAGATTGTTGTAGTTCTACGTGTCAAGCCTTTTCTGGATATTTTCTATTATTTTTCTTTAGTAACTCAACTCTCCAAGTTTTGTTTTCCTCTGCTGTCGCCAGGTATTGAACCCACACCTCTATTGGATCTTGTCACTGGATTACAATGAATATAGACTGATCTCTTTTTTTACAAGGTACTTAAGATATTGGTGATTATTAATCGGATTTATTGGCCATTAAAGGTCATTTTTTTTAAATCATTTCACCCTGAGAAATGTAATAAAGCCACTAAAACTCAAAGAGTTACAGAGAGTTATAGAGAAAATAGATTAAGTTGAGAGAACAATAAAAGTACAAGAAAGAAGAAAATAGAAGATAACAACTAACATTGTCTTTAAAATTTTTAAAGACAAAAGTAAACTAAAAAGCAACAAACCGGAAGGAAATTCTACAAACGAGAAGTGAGAGAGAAAAAAACTGTCAGCATAGAACATTCAATGACATCTAACCATTTCAACTGTAAGAAGATACGAACGTTCCGGTTATCTGGTAATACTTAAACCTGTTACTGGATTTAAGGCAAGGTCCCATTATCTTAAATTTGAAATGGCTAGATATAACCCCAAGTTCTATGCTAGGCGTTTCTTCATAAAGAATTAGATTCCTAGCATAAAGGATAATGTATCAGAACAATTACCATAAAATATTTATAGAAAGGTTACACAGAATATACGTTTCGACGGTGGTAAAAATGCCTGAAGCCGAGATACCATGCCATAACCAGTAACACTGCAGATTATTCTTTGCATTTTATCAAGAAACTTTCAGGAACACCAGAACATACTTCGCAACAATATTAAAAATTGAAATAATTATACATATCTAATGTGATCAAAGTCTTCATAGAGCCAAATAAATCAGCTCCGTCCCTGCCAATATATTTCAAATGCCTCTACTTAATTTCAGCAGCCAACTTAATTTTGCATTTATATTTAATGACGTCTTGTACTTATTTCGTGATGTCAAATGAACACTCCTTGCCAATTTTGTAATATCAACGCAAACTCGTTGTCACTTTTGTAATGCTCGTTGTAGTAGAGACTTTGTAAATAGCAGGTATTATAGTAGTGACGCCTACAAACTATACTGGTATCAGACGCCTTCGAATAACACACACACTTCTCGATAATACGCGCTCTAATGGTAAACGCCGAATAGTGCTCCGAATATTTTATTCCTGTATAACAACTTATACTCGCGCTTAACTTTTGAGAACAAGATTAACATGATTTGCATGTCAGCGAATACCGCACTTTTAGATAACTTCCATAATTGAAAATCTTTATCTGTGTGCCGCGTCGCGCTAGGCAATCAAGGCTCGCAAACAACTTCATACACTTTTTTATACTTAGTATGTTTTCTCCCTTTGCTAAATTTCTCATCCTGTTCTGCAATACATTTACACAAGCTCGTCTGGTAAGTGCTTCACTGCCTTCCTGTAAGTTTCTTGCCCTCAATACACTCTGTGAGTGTTAAATTTTCCAAACCCTCATTCCTCGTTATGTATCCATGAAATGGCAAACATTTTTTTTTCTTTCCGACTATGTGTAGGAGGCTTTTTTTATTTGGTATTTTCTTAAAAGCTTCCTTCCATGAAATGTTCAATTTCTGCTAAATTTTCTCTACGTCTATTAGAAGATTGTCCAGCAATCACTTCCATTTTAGAGGATAGATAACACACTTTACTCTGTATCTACCGACGTTTTACCATTTATCAGAACCTTGTTTAACTTTTGGAATGATTCATTCTTGTTCATCTTTTAGAATTCATTCGTTAGCGTGTTCGGATTTCGGTGTAGCATTTTCTACCCTCTGTTTAATAAAATTCAGGATATTGAATTTTGCACATGCTTGGCTATGATATCTAAA